CGCCACTCACTGCCTGGGTCGGGAGTTTAGAACGGTACAAGGTGGAGCCATTCACTGAAGATGGTTCAATCAGAAGTAAACAGGAGTCTGTTCATTCACTGGGAAGACAGTACCCGCAACACACATCACCACAGACAAGGTCCACACAGAGGAGAGACAATGACAGGAGATCAGCTGCAGCTGTGAATACTAACAGTTTTTGTCGCTCTCACCAGGGGTGCTCTGAATGTTACTTGATCCTGTCATTTTCAAAGGAACCCTATCCATCCATCGGGGATATTTCCTTTTTCTGGCAGAAGGGGAAACTGAAGCTCAGAAGTTTTCTCCAGGAGCTTGGACTTCACCAGTGCCTTTGTCCTGGAGTATTGAAATTACGACAGACTGCCTCCCTCCTTCTGCTGCGTCTCCAACACCATCCAGTCTAGAACAACGAGCAATCAAAACTGCCATGTCTCTCAGCCAAGGATGCAAGGGGAGAGGAGACACCAGCCCCCGGCCCGGGGAGCCTTGCATTGGGAGGAAGCACACTCTGGAAACGATGGCTTCATCCTATTACTGACAGAACTGAAGCTGGGCAGACCTCAGCCCACGGGAAATGCTGAAGAAAGACCACCGGCAGCAGGGGTGGAAGTGTTCATAAACGCGGCCCCCCGTTGCTGGTCATCTCTCCTTAGCCAGCTGTGGGCCCTGGGAATGGCATCACTGCCCAAGGCCGGTGAGGCGGGTGTGCAGGCCGTGCAGCACCAGAGTGACCATTTCTGTGCTGCACGGAGAGAGTGCACAGGATAGGGGCTTCTCCGAGGGACACTGCTCATGATGTGTGAGCATCCTCTAGTCTGCAGTTAGATCACTGCCTCCTCGGTACCGATTTCAAAGACGACACTGAAGTGAGATGACAGGAAGTTTCCGTGTGTGTGCGCGCGTGTGCCATGCTGGGGATAAACTCAGAGCCTTGCACGGGCTGGGGGCATGAGCTCTGTCCTCTCTCTTAAAAAAAATGTTTTCAATTAACCAACTAAGAACTTCGTTACTTTATTTCATCCGGCAAACACAAAATGTCGAACTACAAAACTGTCTGCAGAGAACCAGTGCTCCAACATATTTTCTAACTAAAACTTTTCAGCTTCTTCTACATTTCTATAGTTCTGTGCAGTTTCTTAATCATTTTCCCATCTATGACCCTGGCTTATGTTGCTCTATGGTCAACCCCACTTTCCACAGATTAAAATAGAACTTAGAGGTTTGCGAACTTGACCAAGATCACACGGTCCCTCATAGAAGACCCACATTCTACTTTGTGTCTTTTGCCTTTAAATCCTATCTGCTGTCTGAACTATAAGTATCTGTGAATCTGATCTCACTGAAGAACTGCAAGGAGAGTGTTTTCAACACACAGCGCTAATACATCTGGGTATCTGGAGGACGGAATGTAAGCACTGCGCTCTGAAAATGCCTTCTAGGTGATTCTCCTGTGTGGCCAGTTTGGGGCTCTGGAGGTGGGAATGGGCATCCCCAGCAGTCCTGACCTGGTTGAGCCTCATTCTCTGCCTCTTTCAGTGAGGACAATGAGAGCTAATGTGCAGATTGTAAACATTTGAACACGCGTATGTCAAGTGCCTACACATGGTGGTGATTCCACAACAGAAGTTACTCTCATTTCTACTGCTCCTGGGAAGAGATCTATTGCTAGTGAGTAGGGATGCAGGCTAGTGTACCACACAGCAGTAATTCCAGGGCAATAATCCCAGTGCAGATTTGTGACAAATCCAGGCAAGCCACATCTATTTGTGGCCATCCCAGAGTTTACTCCTGTGTAAGAAGCAGTGTCTTTTAACTGCAAAGTACGGTATCTGCGGCTCTAGAAGGACTGGACTACACGGCTCTGTAGAACAGCGGGAAGTCTGCACATTTCTCAGGAAGTGGTGCTTAGAAGAGCATCAAACAGGCGTAACTGAAATAAACTGGCGCTTATAAGCCGCCATTCTCTAGAGCTCTGTGTTATTTTCTGTCAGGGCAAGGTGAGGTCTCCCCCATGTGCCCGCCCCTCTGCAGTTTCTGATTTGTACGTGCTTAGGTTGCGCACATATTTGAACTAGTTTACAAGAGGACACGAGAATAAAAACAGGAGTATGAGAGGCAGAGTGAGCTGGGGTGGGGGGAGGGGGGCCTGTCAGGCTGCCAGGAGGTCTGCGCAGGAGATCTGCCGTCTGAGTCAGCGATAAGACTCCGACCTCCCTCCCGGCCCTCCGCTCCCGACTCCCTCCGGCTCTCTTCCTCTAGGTGCGCGCCTCACTAAACTTGCCCTTCTCTACCTCAGTGTCCTTGGTAGCGGGGTTGCCAGCATACCCCACCACCCTGGCTCTGTATTTTAAAAAATAAAAATAAGCCTTTTCCTTAGCATTTCTAATCAAATGCTAAAGACACTGCCCATTGATATACAGATATCACCTAGACGAGGAATTCTTGTGTGACCAAATGGAATTTCTATATTTATTCTCTCTCTGCAGCAGCAGGAGGAGCTTCAGTTTTTCTTGTTGACTAATTTCGCTCTTCTCCTTCTGAGGAAGTACATATTCCATCCGTATTCCTCCATCGTCTTGCTGTCCTCTGTTCTTCCATTTATTTTAGCAAATGCAGGTGAGATTTAACCATGACAACATTGGCTATGATGGGTGTGGTGGGAAGAATCCAAAATGGGATCCCTCACGAATCCACACGAAGCTGTAATCCTGGGCGGCTGAGTACGACTGACTTGATTCACTGCAGTCTACCCTCTGGCCCGCTTTTAAGAGAACGGACGCTTCCCGGTGAGAGACTCGGTTTCCCCGTTGCCCCAGCCCGGGCTCAGCTCTGCCGCAGAAGCCCGTGTTGACTGCTCTCGGCTCCAGCTCCTCCTGCCCCAGCTTCCTGTGGGCGCAGCTGCCATCTCCGTCCTGGGGGGGCCGACTGTGGCTGTCCACTCCAGACCCTCTCTGCACAGCAGCCTGTCCGCCAGCCAAGCAAGCCTTCAGGCTCATCTCCTGCATGGCCTCCCTGTGTGCCCAGGGAGCCTGTCCCGGAGCCAGGCGCTCCCTCGTGAGGGTGTGGGTGCAGTCTCTCCCTCACCTACCACGCCACTGCCTCTTACAAGCTAGACAGATGAAGCGAATCACACCTGGTCATAATCTCTGCATAAGAGTTAAAATTCTCCTTAAATATGGAAAGCTAATATGGGGTCCCAAACTTACCAAGAGAAGATCATAAGAATCTAAGTCAAAGAGGCATTCTTACACTTGCAACCCAGAGCCCAGCACTGCCACTCCGCATTTACTGTATGAATACAGAATTTGCCCCTTGGCCGCTGAGGCCGGGTTTCCTCTCAGGCCCCAAGGTCTGTGGTGCCAGTGGGCAGAGCCACATTTCGCTCCCGCACAACGGAAACAAACGAGACCTAACTTGCTGAGCTGTCGAATTTATTTTGGTTTATTCAGCAGTGTAATACAGCAGAAGCAACATTGGACTGCATATTAGAAGGCTTGGACTTTAGCCCAGTTTCTTCCATGACCAACTGTATAACCTTCGGAAGATTTTACAAATTTTCTGGTACTTGTTTTTTTCCATTTACCCAATGAAAACTGTCCTTGCTCTACTCAGTGTAAATGCACAAGGGATTTGGAGTCTCCTATCTGTCATTCCCTACAGCGCAGCTCTTTGTCTATATCTATTTGCTTTACAATTTCCACCATTTCGGAAGCTTTCCAGGTTCCCTCATTCCATTCTAATGCCACTGAGAATCCTAGAAGCAGACAGTTGTAAATAATCCTAAATAATTTTAGAAATATTTGTAAAATATCACAAATGGTGTTGTTCAAATATACTGTTTTTATTTTAGAGTATTAACTGGGTAATTTCAAAGGCCTTCACTAGCTTCAAAGTAGTAAAATTCTATATTCAAGTGTACAATTGAGATTCCTGCATCTTGCATATAAAGAGAAGTTGAGACGTGTACCTCATCTCTCATCTTCCATGAGAAATGCTTGGGTGTGACATTTTCCCCATCTAATGGGCAGGGTTAGCATCTCTATTTTACTGTTCCATACATTAAAACCTTGCCTGAAATCCCACACCTTTTGCTTTAACTTATATTACAGTGTTTCCTTTCTCCTAAGAATACAGATTTTTTTGAAGTTTAAAATAAATTACTGAAACATATTTTTCTCAGAGTGCTAGTTTTAATATTCCAGATTCTAAAGAGAAAAGTTGAATCAGCACTGTGCTGGGAAAGGCAAACGTTCTCCAAATGCCCACTTTGTGAAATAAAAAAGTGCATGGTCAGTAACAACACGCAGGAAAACTGCTTGCTCCGGATACCAGGCTGCCCATCATAGTGCAAGGCTGAACCTGACGACAGAGCTGGCACGAGACAGACACACCGCCCCCGACCCTGTCAAAATCTACACGGATGTGGATTCCAGAAATCACACCTCTGTGACGCCCGTTCTATGGCTGAAGTCCATGGCGTTGTTGTGGCTTCTCCTACTGACTGTCCAGACTTAGACAATCAGAGTCACAGTTTTTGGTTCAATCAGAGTTACAAGAAGAAAGTAGCAAATCCTCTGACAGTTAACTTGGGGATATCAGAATTGCTGTAAGTGAAAGTCCCGTGAGGCCTCTCTCTCTGCTCCCTCCTGCTTGCTCCTTCTCTCCCTCCCTCCCTCCCTCTCCCTCTCTCTCTCTCTCTCCCTATCTCCCCAACCAAGGCAGAGGCATTCTGGAAGTCTAGTGCTTAAGTGGTGTACAGTATTCAAGAGATTTTATTCCTTCATATTCAAGTGACACTGAGGAAGTAAAAGACCTCTAGTCTACTTTTCCTTAATACAGTATATAATACTTGTTTTTCTTCACTGAAATTAAACCTCATCTCAAATTTGTCACCACTTATAAACTCGGGGAAGGGAGGCACCGAGCGACTGGGACACAGGCACTAGGCCGGGCATGGAAGGAGAAACTTCGGCACTTACTTGGCACAAACCGCTGATGCACATATCCAAAGACGCAGGGTAGCAGCGGGTACCGTCCAAGACCTTGGGCGCTAGCTCCACAACCAGGGCTGTCCCCTTGGCTTGGCACTTGAGCGAACACGGGTTGTCGGGGTCGTTAGAAACAGGAAGCCACTCATAAAACTGGCCGTGGTACTTGACATCGTTATGAGCTGAGCACTGCTGAGCCCGGAAGTCCCCTGCTTCTGGCGGACAGTCCTGGAGAAGACAGGGGGGCGGAGGACAGTGAGGGCGCGGCCAGACAGAGCTGGAGCGGCGGGACGGCGGCAAACGCTTGGGCAACAGGCAAGCCTTGTCCTGGGCAGTATGGGCGGGCGGGCCTTATACCGCCACTGGGGCATTTTAGGGGTTATGTGATTGTTTGGCTCTCAAAATAAGGGTTCTGCAGAAGTAATTACCTTAAGAATATTTTCTGATTAAAATTAAACAAGAAACTAACCAGGTAAGAAGAGGTCTCCTGGTTGATATCACTGGGAAAGAAACCATCCTGAAGTTTATTTTCTGAAAGGTGCCCACCGGTTCCCAAGCTCTAGACCCCGGGATTATTTGAAAGTGCTGCTCCCTTTCAGTCCGATATTGGGAGCTAAGACAACTGTATTTTAGGAATCAGCAGCAAAAGGTTATCGCCATTTCACTCAACGTTTTGTACGGTTGCTTGAGACCATTTTCTATCCCTTAAACGGCACAGTGCCTGGGGTTAACTGCGAGAAATAGAGGCACCATTTACACCCGAATCTCTTTAGCTTTGCAGCAAGCGGAAGGAGAAGACGCTTGTCCAGGTGTGTGTAGCGGCCACAGTGCGGTGGATCTCCCTGAGTCTGGTTTCCCCAAGCTCAGATTTCAGCGCTGCTGTGAGAAGGTCATGAGTTTATGCCAGCCAAGGACCGGCACAAGGAGGATCCACAGCACATGAGAGCACCTTTAATGAGCATTTAATGAAGCCACTGCAGACAGTTGGAAAATTAGGAGAGCTCATTACAGTGAGCCATTCACGTTCAGGTTTACAGCAGCATAACTCATAATAGCTAAAGCTTGGAAGTGGCCTATATGTCCAGCAACAGACGGGAGGATTTAAATGTGGTATATATACACAGTGGAGCACTACTCAGCCATAAAGAAGAACAGATTTGAGACATCTGTGAGAAAATGCATGCACACTGAGTCACAATGCTAAGTGAAATAAATCAGGCACAGGTTAAGTATCATATCTTATACGAGAAACCCAAAGTATAAATCATGTAAAGAGAAAAGTAGGAAAAAGATAATAGGAAACAGGGAGAGAGATTTTGTGGAGGTGGGAAGGGGATCTGGAGATGGGGTAGATGGGAAGGAGAAACAGGTACAAAAGACCAAGTGGTGATACGTATATGTACCAGGGCTCCATGATGAGTATGTGTATCATGTATTGCAAACGTGCACATTTTAAATTAGAAAAAATATACTGGCGGAAACCCTGTGGAAAGCAAGACCCTTTTAAGTGTGTACTTTGTAAAGGGCGATTTACAGTCTTAAAATACAGCTAGCAATGGCATTTATCTAATACATGATAAGCCTCAGCAAAGGCAAGGAAGTCAGCCTTAAAAAGGGAAACACTGACTTTTCCTTGACGGGCACATCCCCACTCTGCATGTTGAGAAGAAGATTTACTACAGAGAGTTTAGATTATCTGGCCTTGGGGGCTTTGGTGAGAAGGTTTTTGTCTGAGTCTGCACTTGGCCTTCAGCAGTTCCCGGGCAAGCCAGCGACATTCTGGAAGTTCTCACATGCAAGCTTTCCCTCTCCGAAGTTCCTTTGTGTTCACACAAGCATTCAGAGAACAACACTGGTCTTAGTTTTCTACATTTACTGTGAACTCTCTTGCCTGGGTCACACCTGTCGGTCACATCTGTCACAGGGAATTGGTTCTTGTAACATCGCACATCTGGTCCTTCTGTTCCCCTTCCCCTCCACCATTCAAACAGGTGTTGTCTCATGTTTGCCTTCCGTTCTCTCGCTCTGCTTTTCCCTTCTCCCCTCCTCCCCTCCCTTCCTTCCCTTCCCATGTGGACAAGTTCTTCCTACTTCCCACACCTGTCCTCCATTTCACACCTTATTTACCCTTATGGTCTCTCATATAAGGGAAACAAGGCAACATTTAAACTTGTGGCTCTGTCTGAGTTATTGCCCTTAAGATCATGGTCTCAAGGTGCTTCTTTGTTTTGTAAAATGGAATTCGTGGCCCATAAGCTTTAGTGGCCTATTCAATAGCATACATGTTCTGATACACGGAGGAGCACAGATTTTTTTCAGGGCAAGGTAGGGTAGAAACATACATATTTAGGATGAATGCAAAAATGTCTCAAAATACAATATAAAAACCTCAAACACATTTAACTATCTGTACTGATATACATCAATATATATATGCATGCATATTCAGAGTGAATAAAATATAATTAATAATAAAGAAAAAGAATATCTTATAAAGCACAGGTGCCAGTGAGGCTTAAGTGATTCTGAATTTGTCTTTTAAAAGTATGATTAAAATCAATTGCTTATTAACTTCTTAAATGATAAAATTTACAGCTTAAATTTCTTAGTTGTTAGTTATTTCTTAGCCTATTTCTTAGTTATTATTGTCTTCCTTTAAAGAACTCTAGAACCAATTTTGAATGCCACCCCCCTTCCCACACACACTAGATGGCTTCTCTCTGCAGACGCTGCTCTCACTGCTTGAACAAACTGAACGCACTCTGACCACACACTGGCCATGGCAGGGAGGCTTGAGCTGATAATTTCATTAGTAGTGGTCAAATCACGCATTTTCTTCTGCAACCATGCCTGTCGTTCCATCTGTCACTTGTTTACTCTGAAGTACAGAAGAAATACTGAAATGGACTCAATAAAGCAAAACACTGAGAAAATTGTTTCAAATAGCCCACAGTCCCTCTCATACTTATCTTTGCCTCATTTTTCTATACATACAAGTAAACTAGCTAGAAGGGAATTACAGGGTTAGATTGAATCACCTTTGCCTCTAAGTGAGAAGGATACAATGCAATTAAAAATGGTATTAGTGTGAACCAGAAATAGTTTTCTACATTTTTCTGATTCCAAGAAAAGAGTGTCAACTACATTTCTAAACTGATGATGCTACATCACCTTTGGCAGGCATAACACTATAGTCTTCCAAGTTTTTTCTGCTTGACAAAAATGTGTTGACTTTTTCCACTTTTTCTAAAATAAATGAGACCAAAGGCAGTCAAAGGTAAAACTAGTAGAAATGAAGTTAAAACCTTTAGGCCTTTTCTATGAAAAAAAAAAATCAGTAAACATATGTAGATACATCCCAGAGGATAAACACATAAACAGGAGTTTCTATTTGCAACCCATCTCTGCATATAGTGGCTTCAAGGGTACTTTCTATACAGGTACTATGATTTTTCATAACTGGAAAAATATCTGTGAGAATTACAATGCTTGTGAACCCCTTTACTCACTTTTATTATTACTGTTTTTCCTTCTATCCATAATTTTGCAGGGATGGGACAGTATATTTTGCTAAGTTTGAAACCCAGAATTCAGACTTGGATCCTAAACGTGGACCTTTTTAATGTTTGAGTTTATTTATACTTGGTGAAATGCAACTTCCTGTTTTAAGAAAAAAGACTTAACGGGACTTATAAAACAGGTTCAGAAAGCTTCTTGGACATCAAACAGCCCGTACAAAATAACATTTTGATGATTTAAGTATAAATGAATCAGAAACATATGAATCAAATTTCCCTTCAAATACATACATTTAAAAATTACGAGGAAGGTTTGGCAACACATCTTTTGTCTGACCCTCAAACTTCTCAAACATAGTTCAAGATATTCACTGAACCACTAATGCATCTTGAATCATCCAGTTACAGGAATGAAACATAGAAGAAGTCACTGCAGCATCCTATCCCACCAGTATATAATAATACACGATAATAATAACAGCAGGGACAACAATAGCAACAACAGAATAATTCGTATTTGAATAGATATTAACATCTACAAAATTCCTAGTTTTTAATTATAATTTGGTCCTTGAAACCATTATGCTTCCTGACCCCTCAAATCCTTCACACATTTATCTTTGAAGTATCAGCTTCTGGAGATGCTTTCTATCATGAATCACAATTCTGCCTAGGAGGCGCGGTTTTCCTGGGGGCATAGTGAGAGCAGACTTTACTGAATATATACTATGTGAGATTTCTGCTCTCATAACACATCAATAAACAGAATAGTAAGCCTTTCATTGACAGATTTAAGACATAAAAGAAACAAATGGATTACAATTACATACTCTGGCATGGAACTTGGCACCTAGGAAGTAATAATGAAGGCAATTAACGCCACTGCAAAGCCTAGTGACTGCACAAACACATCCTGACCCTCAGTAAGAATCCAGAAAAAACATGGAGAGGGCAGAAAGAACTGGATCCCCAGCACCCATCCTCTCTTCGCCTCTGGAAGGACCATCGGGTGCAAAAGAAACAAGGGAAGGCAGTTGAACTCACTCTCCCCTGGAGTACGACACTAGCACATCTGTGGGCTGACAGGTTTACATCAGGCGATTGGGCCAGGACTGAGGAAATACATTTTCTTAGGAATGGATGACACCCTGAATTACTGAATTTAGCTCTTTAATGTAGTGGTTTTCTCTTCCATTTTTGAGCATTGAATTCTAACTGTGCTGTATCGGAGCTTTCTTTTTTAAAAACACAAAAGTAACATCTGACCTTTTATTTGTTTCCATTATAATTCATACAGTCCGTGGTGTTCTGCCACATATGAATACATTTCTAAACATTTCTGGTTAATCATCTAGTCAGTGGGAAAGATAAGCTGGACCCCATATGTCTCCTGAGGATGATAGGTAGATCACATTACACTGTGGGACAAAAGAGGGTCTCTGTGCTCAGTTTACTCACTGAAAGAAATGTAAGATTTGTATCTCGGCAGCTAACATGGCAGAATATAAAAATCCTTCAAAATGGCTTTGAAAAATACACAGAATATAAAGTTAGGGCCAGGAGAAGTATTACTCTTCCTCTTACGTTCCTTCTTTTTAAAGAAGACATTTCTCTTCCAGAGGGACATCCATTTGGCTCACCTCTGCCCTTAGGTACGCAGTGCTTGGCGTATGCTTTTTCTTGCTGTTTTGCTTAACTTATCGGATGAGT